ACTTTGGCTAGTACTAGTATGGTATTATAGAATTCTGGTACTAAAGTATTACAGTTACAGCATGATTGTACTATTCCATGACAGTATTATGGCATTATTGTGTTCAAATACCACTGTGTTGAAGTATTATAATATTGCGGTATTGCAGTACTGTAGTAGAGTTGACGCATTATAGTAGTATCAGTACTGTAGTAGAGTTGATGCATTATAGTAGTATAGTATTGCTAGTATGGTGCTACATTATGATAGTATGGCAGTAATATAGTATACAGCATGATAGCACTATTGTGTTATTGCAGTGCTATAGTCTGATCGTAGTCTTTCTCATGGTATTTTGTTGGCATTATTGTATATTATTGTGGTACAGTAGGCAAAGGTCAACCTCTGCCTGTCCCAACCCGGTCCGCAGGTGGCACACCGCCACAGCATTGGGAGCTGTCGGAAGGCAGGTGTTTACTTAGGTTAAGTACCTTAATTGGGGTTATAGGTAGTTATAAGTAGAGTTACCTTAATTATAATCCTAGTTACTAAGTCCCATGATCCTTTAAGTAGGCTTTGGGGTTTCGAGTTTAGGGTCCTGGGTCTCCTTTCAGGCTGTGGCTGTGGAAGAGCGCTTCCTAGACTTTAGGGTTTAGGGTTTAGGGTTCTTGGTGCATAGTCTGGGCAAACCACTAGGTAGGATCTAACCGAAAGTTCTCCGTGAAAGCGCAAGTCGTACTCGCATTCGACACGCAGCCTCACTCTTCGCACCACAGCAGAAACCGGGTGCTTCAGCTGTAGTATACTGCTAGTGGATATTATAGTATATTAGTATACTCTAGAGTACCATAGTATACTATAGTATACCCTATTGTATACTATACCCCGAGCTTGAAACACTAGAGGTCGCCGACGGGACCGAAACTCCAAATGCTGGAATCGCTGTGCCGTGTGCGGCAACGGCCGTGGCCCCAGCCTGCAGGCTATTTTTTGTAGCTCCGCTGATTGATCGACTCCTGAACGTAGATTCTCATTCAAAATTATCTGGGATTGATAATTTTTGACTGTCGTTGGACAGTCTGGCATCATCATGCCATCCATCATCGCCGCAATCAAGCGTCATCTGTGCTCGTTGAAGGTAGTAAAGCAATCTGCCAAGCCGAGCATTCCTTGTTGGCAGGTGTCTGGTGAGACAGCTTGGACCAGCCGGCAGGATCTAATGATTCCCCAGGCCGTTGCACGCTACAGTGGCACTGTTGCTGGCCATTTGCTTTGGATGATTCTGCACGGGTGTTTCTTCTGGGAGGCTGTGATTCCCGAAGCGGGCACACCGACGTCGCATTCGAGCATGAGTCGTTGCTTGCTCCTATTGATGCCATGTCCAGTCTTTTGTACTGTGCAGAGCTGTCCGCAACTCTGCCCTGTAGTCGTCGAGTGTGTGAGCGCTGCCTGTGTGTACAGCACGGAGCGTCCTCCTTTGCCTTGCAAGTGCAAGAGCGTTCGCACCCACAGGCAGTCAATCAATCAATCAGTCCTTTTGATGGGGCTCTAGACGTTAGTTTGCATTGCTTCTCGAGCTCAGACAGTGCTGTAACATGTGGCCTGACCCCACAAGTTAACTATGAATCCCGCAAATTTTCCAGCTGCCGAAGATCGCAAGTGTGGATGGTCTCCAAGGCTCCACTCCTTACGCAGCGCAAAGCTCGGCCTCATCCGAACCGAGCAGCATGGCCAACAGAGATAACGAGGCCCTCGGAGCGAGAGGTACCTGAGTTTGCGCTGCAAAAGACGCACACAGATACACATTGAAGATCATTGAAGGTTGGAGGTGGTGTTCGCTATGTAAGCCCAAGGAAGAAGGTAACATCAAAGAATCAAAGCTATAGATGGGACAAACACGTCTGGTAGTGGCGCGGTGGCCTCGGTCACGACGTATCACGAATTGTAGCCTGACTGCCCTGCAGGCTCTCGATGGCGTCAGGACCTGTACAGAAGCCTCTTGGCATTCGTTTGGGCTCGCACCACGGTACTGCCACAGATTGGTCTGTCTTGCTCTGCATGCAGTGGTCCGCTAAGGAATCTCCATCCGATGGCGGCTCAATGGCACCCCGTGATGGACCGTTGTTGCATGGGAATGGGTCGGTGTCGGCCCTGGAATTATCAATGCAGATGCAGCCGAAGGCTTCGGGTAAGGAAGGTTCCGAAATTCATTGCATGGCCCCGCCATTCCCGGAGGATGGTGATGGCGAGGAGACCACACCTTGGGAATGGGAGTCGGTGTCAGAACCCGGCGGCTACCCGGTCATCATCCAAGTGGTCCTCTCCGACCCTTCTTTGTCCTGCGTGCGCTGCGCGGCGGCAGAGGTGCTCCCTGCAAGGCCGAAGCTGCAGATGCAAAGTGAGGATTTCTGTCCAAGACTCGAGCACCTGTGTACCTCAGGGTACACACCCTCGCAGAAACTTGAGAAGGACCCTGCGCCTGTTTGGGAAGACCGACAGACGGTGCCAGAAATCTGGGACTTGGAAGCTTGTGAGGGAGAGGAGCCGAAGGCTGGGTATGAGCGGCCAGCAACCAGTGAAGCCGGTTCGGAGGGACACACGCGCGGCTGGCGCCATGTTTTGACCCCGGTTAGCTCTCCATTTTCATTGGCCTGCAGCGAGGACAGCTCCCAGCAACTTTCTGGATCCAAGTCTATGGAGCAACAGGTGCGTGAGGTCACCTCGTCCGATGCAGATGTTTCGTCTTTCAACTTGCAGGCTTTGGCTGAGCAAGAGCCAGTTGGAGAGCTCGCCCCGCTTCGGAGTGCGCAAGATTGTGTTCCGCAGAAACCGACCAGATCGGTGCACTCAGTGGAGACTGGTGTTGGCACTGGGAGCTCTGATGTAAGAACTCCGATCCCTTCCTTTGGCAGAGCATCTCACACCAGTCAAAAGGGAGTTACGCCTTTGCACGTCGCTGCAGAGACCGGGAGCACTGAAGTTGTGGAGACGTTGCTGAAATCTGGTGCTACTGTTGATGCACCCACGTGCGATGGCTTTACTCCCCTTCACGGTGCTGCGACTATGGGTCGTGTTGAAGCAAACACAGCGTTTTCATTGGCCTGCAGCGAGGACAGCTCCCAGCAACTTTCTGGATCCAAGTCTATGGAGCAACAGGTGCGCGAGGTCACCTTGTCCGATGCAGATGTTTCGTCTCTCAACTTGCAGGCTTTGGCTGAGCAAGAGCCAGTTGGAGAGCTCGCCCCGCTTCGGAGTGCGCAAGATTGTGTTCCGCAGAAACCGACCAGATCGGTGCACTCAGTGGAGACTGGTGTTGGCACTGGGAGCTCTGATGTAAGAACTCCGATCCCTCCCTTTGGCAGAGCATCTCACACCAGTCAAAAGGGAGTTACGCCTTTGCACGTCGCTGCAGAGACCGAGAGCACTGAAGTTGTGGAGACGTTGCTGAAATCTGGTGCTACTGTTGATGCACCCACGTGCGATGGCTTTACTCCCCTTCACGGTGCTGCGACTATGGGTCGTGTTGAAGCAAACGCAGCGTTTTCATTGGCCTGCAGCGAGGACAGCTCCCAGCAACTTTCTGGATCCAAGTCTGTGGAGCAACAGGTGCGCGAGGTCACCTTGTCCGATGCAGATGTTTCGTCTTTCAACTTGCAGGCTTTGGCTGAGCAAGAGCCAGTTGGAGAGCTCGCCCCGCTTCGGAGTGCGCAAGATTGTGTTCCGCAGAAACCGACCAGATCGGTGCACTCAGTGGAGACTGGTGTTGGCACTGGGAGCTCTGATGTAAGAACTCCGATCCCTCCCTTTGGCAGAGCATCTCACACCAGTCAAAAGGGAGTTACGCCTTTGCACGTCGCTGCAGAGACCGGGAGCACTGAAGTTGTGGAGACGTTGCTGAAATCTGGTGCTACTGTTGATGCACCCACGTGCGATGGCTTTACTCCCCTTCACGGTGCTGCGACTATGGGTCGTGTTGAAGCAGTTGCATCACTGATCGCAGCACGTGCAGATCCATCACTCACGACAGGTGATGGCTCCAGTGCACTGCACGGCGCGGCAAGAAATGGTCACACGGAAACGGTGGCATTGTTGCTGGAGAAGGGAAGTGTCGTAGATGTGCGGGACAGCAGGGGTGGATTCACGCCGCTACACGATGCAGCACATGCTGGGCATCTTTCCATGGTGCTGCTGCTCCTCCAGAATCGAGCCGACCCCACCCGCGCAGCTTTCGGCACGACGACACCTTTAGACCTGGCAGTTCACAGCGGGCACCTGGAGGTAGCTGCCACGTTGTTGGCCGCTCGCGCTTGGCCAACGCCTGAGCCAGCAGAGAAGATGCTGTCGCCCCTGCGCCTGGCGGCACGTAGGAACCATCCCCAAATCCTGCAGCTCCTCCTCGCCCGCCTAAGGGAGGCTGCAGTCGGGGCCTGAGGCTGCGAGAGCCTCGTGCATGAGTTTGCAATCGAAATCCTGTGCCCGGCGAGCTCGAAGGGCTACAGCAACGTTCGTTCGCGGAAGATTTACCGCTCACTGGTTGCACAAGCATCCGGAAATAGCTTTCTCTACAGATTTGGGCAGGACTGACCCACACATGTCGAGCAGCAGGGTTGCAAGGCGCTTGTCATTGCTTGTCGATTGTAGCACATTGTAGCCTCATGCTCATAGTGCTTGAGCGAAGACACTTCGCTGCACCGTACCCTGCTCTCTGCCGGACATGTTTTTCGCAGCTTCGTGGCCCTTGACAAGGCTTTCTGCATGACAATCTCCTTGCAGCATACGATATTCTGACACTCTGTGTTCAGCCTCGACCGCTGCTTCCGCCGATTTGTGCAAGAATCTCATTTGTTCTCGCCACATACCTGATCGCAGCTGGTGGTGCGCAATGCATCCGAAGATCCCGGCAGGCTGTAGACTGGTCACGTGCCAGAGTCGCCCTTTAAAGCGCAGCGCACACAGCGAGGAAAAGAGGCTCTTGTGGCTTCACCTTAGCTTCGCGCCCTGCAGTTTTCGGTCTTGCGCAGGTCGCTCCAGCGAACAGGCAGTGCCGGCAGCGTCGCAGATTCCGCTACAGGTCCCTGCTACAGGGCCCTCTGTGATGCCGCCTCGACTCAGAGAGCCCCTTCATCCCCTTAATGAAGGATTATAGCTTATAAAGCATAAATATGAGCCCTAGAATAACTTAAGCCATCTTTTCCTTAATACAGGGGTATATGGGGCTCTCTCTGTGTCGAAGCCCTTCCTTAAGGGGATTAAGGGGCTCTCTGAGTCGAAGCCCGGGCCCTTCCTTGGAAGGCACGGAGCCGGCGGAGCGCTCCCATGCCCTCGAGGAGGAGAACCAAAGACTGCGCGAGGAGACGATCTTTGGCTTTCGTTTACTTCGGCTTTTAAGCCCTCTTGGGCGGTTCATAGATGGGCGCCCTTTTTTGGGCTTTTTTGAGCTTTTAAGCCCGCTTATTCGGGTGGCTTCATCAGGGCTCCAGACTTCGCTTTGACCACATCAATGCCCACTCACACCTTCGGGCAACTGTCCCCGGTTACCCCAACCACCACCACAAGCCCACATCTGCCCCTCCCCCAGCTCGCGCCACTTGGGCGGAAGCCCGAGGAAGAGTTGGCCACCCTTCCCCCCAGGCTCAACAAGGGCAAGGGGAAAGGAAAGTGCCAAGATGAAAAGAAGCCGAAGGGCAGCAGCAATGGCTTGGGCAACGGCAGGGGCAAAGGAAAGTGGAGCTGCAGAGCTTGACCGATCATTCGCGACTACAGTGCCTGACTTTCGCTTCGGCGGCTGGCTTAGTCAGCTGCTGCTGCTCCTCCCGTCTACCGCTGCTGAGACTGCAGGAGCTGGCGAGGTACCAGACAGATGCGATGGCAGTGCGGCGGAGGCAAGGTCTGCTGCTTTTTTCGTCAACTCCTCGGACGAAGGCATCACGCGCCCGTGCCAAGAGTTGTTGGCAAGGCCCATGGCGGCCATCGCAGGGGGTGGTTTTCGAGGTGCTGGACCGCAAAAGCCTCGACCTGAGTCGCTTTGACGTTTAGGTCATCAGGTTTTTTTTGACCCGTGCAGTGGTGTGCCTGGGCTATATATAGGTTTGAGTGTGGCATGGCGGCAGGCCTTGCATGTGCGAGGACTTGAAGGCGAAGCTCGCAAGGCCTCGAGCGACAGTGGAGTGACGCATGTTGGGATCAGCGCCTATCTATCCCTCGGAAATTCCAAAGCCATGAGTCTTCGAAGCAGTCATGGCGTCTATACGGTCTCTGCCAGCCACACGCTCCAAACGTTTCTTGGCTCCAGACTGCCGCGTCTGCCGCAGTTGATGCTTGTACCCAAACAAACCTTCAAAACCATCGAACCTGAAGCTTCGTCTGCGGCCAGCCCCGCTGCAGCCGTCGGCAGATGGTGCAAGCACGGCAAGCACTGTTGTCGTTCTCGTTCTTCTCTTGATCGTGCCTGCCTCGAGTATCAGGGACAAACCGAAGTCTTGACCGGAAGTCCCTCAGCCCTAAACCAGAACCCTGAACCCCGGAACCCCTAAACCACCAAAGCATACCAAAGCCCTAAAGGCCCTAAAGGCTAAAGGCCCCCAGAGCGCCAGTCTGGTTTCCAAAGCTGGGGCCTGGGCTGCGCCGCATGGAGGCCGCACCGGAGTGCGTGAAAGCATAGGTGACAGAGGCTTGATGAATCGCTCTTGTAAGGGTCGTAGATTATGTATATGAGGACTACACTTATACTACCATATTCGGGAATCCCTACCATGGCCTTTTGTAAGAGTTGTGGGTTCGTTGGGAGTTTGTCAAGCCATGGTGAAGACGTTGGAAAGCCAGAGCACGAGTGCTACTACGAATCTACCAGTATAAATTGGAAGCTACCCCCACCCCGTAATAGTGACAATAAGGATTATATTAGGGCCCTATTCTATTCCTATTATACCACTATTACAGGGTGGGGGCCCCTTCTAAAGTATAGTCGCAAGGCCAGCAGAGTAGTAGCAGCAATGAGAAGTAGAAGTGTCAAACACAACCGTCACATCATGACAATGATGGAGCCCCGCGATGCCCTTCTTTGCAGGATGGCTCCCCCTCCTGGCTCCGGCAACCAGGCACTGCGGAGGCTCCAAGTCGTAAAGGTACTCGCGTTTCGGCTGGGGACCCCGTGCAACTGAGGGAGAGGAAGCGACGCCGTTTCAAAATCGAGCCACTGAGCAGGAGACGGCCTCAGCTGTGGTTGATGCCTTGCGCCGCCTGGCTTCAAAGCAGCGATGTGTTGGCTCTTTCCATGGCGGCTGCCTGACTACGAGGTTCCACCATGTTCCACCTATCCCTGGCTTTGCACTTTCGGCTCTCCGAGGGCACCTCCTCTCAGCTCTTGGCGCCGTGCTCGCGTCCCCTGCGGGTCTTCAAGCCGCCAAGGATGACCGTTTTGACCGTTGTGAGGCTGTCAGATGTTGGGATGTCCCTCCCGTCTAATCGCATTCGGGGCTTCAAACCTTGGGGACTTGAGTTATTCGGAAACTTGTGGCGATGGAGTGAGGGAATCGATTCCTGCGGCTAGCTCGGGCCGCGAATTCTTTCTGAGGGCAGCAGGTTGCAGAATGTTGCGGGCTGTTCAGGGGCATCGGACTGCTGACGTGGACAGTGAGTGAAATCTGACAGAAACGATGCGGGAATTTTCAGACGTTTGGCCGAAGCCCATTGTCATATTTCATGTCGCCTTGAGCTGAGCAACAGACCCGGAGCGCAGCTTCTTGGCAAAGGATGGCGGTCCATCAAACTGCCCCGATCTTGTTGGAAGCGCGGCTGCGACTTCTGTTGTTGTTGACTGGTGCCTGGATGTTCGGCACATTCCACACTGTATGCTTGGGTGTTTTCGTTCCTGTCCCTGGTCGGATATGCAGCATACGTGGCAGAACAGCGCTCAAGGCAGCAACGGTGGAAAGCAGCGCGGTTCCGCCGCTGCGATATTTGGGGGATCCGGACTTGATGCAGCCCCAGCCAGAAGTGAAGGAAGCAGTGGAAGGAGACGAGATACAAACTCGCTTGCAGATCCTTCGGGAAGCTATGGGTGTTTACGGTGGTATCGGCATTGCAGCTCCCCAAATTGGATGGTGGGTTCGCGCCATGTGCTTCTGTATCGAGGCCGGAAATCCACGCTACGCAGCTGCGCCCCCTGTGCCTTTCCAGTATTGGATCAATCCTGAAATCACTTGGTCCAGTGAGACCACGAGCTGGATGTGGGAAGGCTGCCTGTCCGTTCCAGGGATGCGAGGCTGGGTTGAGCGACCCCGGGAGATCCGCATGAGGGGCATCGACGAGCACGGCGAGGCCCGCGAAGTGCACCTCAAGGATCTGCCGGCCCGCATCGCGCAGCACGAGTTCGATCACCTCGATGGAGTCCTGTTCCCTCTGAGAGTCGAAAGCCCAAAGCTTCTGGTGCCACAAGCCGTGTTCGACAGCAAGGAGACCTGGGCGATGAACTGGCCTACGCCGGGGAGTTACCTGACGAAGGCAGGAGAGCTCTCGCTGGAGAAGTGAGGTCGAGCTCCTAGCTGCAGACAGGTCGAAGTGCCCTGGTGCGAGTCAGAAGGTCTTCGGTTCAATCGCGATCCTTAGGGGAGTATGTCCGTCGTAGCGTTCTTTGCATGACCGTTGGCCTGCTGGACCTCGGTGGGGTTTAAGGGATCGATGAAACACAACCAGTCGCACACCACAGTAAAACTCAAACCCACCCACCAACACCCATAAATCTAACTCGAAACCTCCTGTCTTAAACTTCGGATAGCTCACCGGAAGACCCCCGAATGCCTGGGAGGATGCTGGGGAGCTTCGCTCTCTTCCCGGCCTCGGAAAGAGCCTCAAGAGGAGCCGAGCTCAGGTTCCACACAGCCAAGGGAGAATTTGGATGGAGGCTTCGCACTGCCCAACGGAGGGAGCACTGTAGAATGCCACAGTTGAGGCAGCTCTCACGGCTTCTCATCGCTCCAAGCGCGCACTGGATGAAAGAGCTGTTTGTGAGGCTTTGGTTCGACACACCTACCGGCGATTGGGACTCCAAGGACTTTCACTCGTCTTTTTGTTGTGGGGCGTTGGCGATGTCTTCTTAAGTATTGGGTTTCACAGCGGCTTGCAGGCCGACTGCGGCAGGAAACTGCAGGTACGCACGTGCAGCTACGCACATACACAGAGGTCTGTACTTCCGTCTGCGAGGAAATGTAATGCAATGGAATCGATTCGATGCATGGATGGAAGGAGGTATGTGTCTGTCTCTGTGTGTGTGTGTGTGTGCGCGTGTTCATGTGTCTGTCTGTCTGCCCGTCCGTCCGTCTGCCTGGCTACCTGCGTCTGCATACCTCTGCCTGCCTCTGCGTGCATTTGCCTGCCTTTGCCTTTGCCAGCACCCTTGCTCTTGCCTTTTGCTTGATCTTTGCGTTCGCCCGGGCCTTTGCCTGCCTGCCTGGACCGTCTGTCAGTCAGTGTCTGTCTGTCCGTGTAGGTATATGAATAAGAAGGTATGCAGATGTGCAGGTATACGTAGGTAGGTATGTATGGTGTCTGTATGTCTGTCTGTCTGTCTGTCTGTCTGTATGTATGTATGTATGTATGTATGTATGTATGTATGTATGTATGTATGTACTAGTATGTATGTATGTATGTATATATGTATGTATGTATGTATGTATGTATCTATGTATGTATGTATGGTATGTATGTATCTATGTATGTATGTATGTAGGTATATATGCATGTGGTCTGTATGCACGTACTTTTTCGAAGATATGTACAGGAGCATGAACGTTCTTGAGCACAGCGCCGCTGCTACGTGCGTACGCATGGTGGTGCATGCATGCGTGCATGCATGCAATATGTTCGTGTTCTATGTATGTGTGATTATGTACGTATGTATGTATATGAGCATCTACAGGTCAATGCGCTTGTGTCTGTGTGTGCCTGTGCCAGAGAGAGTCGCTGTGTGCATTCTTTCTCTAGATATCTCTAGATCCAGACCGGTTTTTTGGACGTGCCGCTGCAAGTGCGTAGGCATGATTTTTCCCCAGAAGCAAAGTATATACCTGCAAAACCCTGTGCAGGATCTCAAGCAGATAGACTTGTGCCACGCATTTCGCCGGAATTCAGGGACCTCTTCCCCCTTCGATTAGATTTCACAGAGCGGAATGGAGAGGATGAGGTCCCAGACCTCAGCTCATTTCTGCGAAGGGGATCGAAGGGGTAAGTTCAGCACCCTCGAACATCAACGTATCCAATCACAAAGCCCCATGCCTTCAGGAGCAAGTCTTGTGGCTTTGCCGTGTGCTAGCTGTCACAGAGGGATCCCGAGCAGGTCGCTCTGGGGTTGATGGCTGATGATCTGAGCAGTGCTTGTGTTCGGGTGGAGGGGAGATCGTTTTCAAAATCACTGGTTGGGTTTTCCCCACTCAACCATAGACTTGGCCATGCTGCGAGCCGGGTATCCCAGCCTGTCGCCTGAAGATGCCTGAAGCCTATCCAAGCGGATCTGCAGACAGAAGCCGTACTTTCGGATTTGTCAGGTATCCTCTCCTTCTACGGCGCAGGATTACTCCTGTGTGATGCTATGGCGGCCTTTGCAGAGGAGGGACCGGCAGAAGCAGGGTGTCCTCTGTGCCCTGCCTGTGTGGCTACTGGGCAGGTCAGTCTGCACGAGCTGGACCTAAGCCTAGATGAGGCCTGCGAGCTGTGCACTTCAGATTGATACCCCCCCCCCCCCCCCCGACTGTTCGCCTAGATAGTAGGAGAACTATTGGTGACCGGTGTTGTTTGTGCTTTCTTGGACGTTTGGCTCAGTCGTAGAACAAGCCCCCAGCCGCAAGCTTCGTCATGGCTGCAGCGCAAGTGGCAAGGTTGACGCTCGCCTTCATGGGCGAGCAGGCCACATATGAGCCATAAGTCTTCTGCTCGCCCATGAAGGCGTGCACCAACTGCTTCATGTGCAAAGCATGAGCAAAGGTCCGGTTGTTGTGTCGTACCCGCTCGCCCCGAATATGAGGCTGCTCGTAGTAGCTGCGGGGCCTTGGACAAGCTGAAGGCACCACTGAGGCAGTTAGCGCTCCGGCACATGCTTCACTTGCCACCAGTATATCCCGGGACTCAGCAACCACTAACGGCTTCACCACTTCTCCATGCACTGCCAGGGCCAGTACCCCGTCCAACCCGCGGGGGAACTTGTGCTCCAGAGAATTGGTGGCGACATAGAAGTGCAACTAGCCCCAGTGACACACCAAGCCTCGCGACATGTCTCGTGGGCCAACCTGTCTGAGAAGTTTCAGCTTTACGCAGACTTTTTGCCATACTTCCTGCTCCACAACCCGTTGAAGGGCTTCACGACGCCCTTTGTGGGGCCTTGGGAGGAGTCTTGGCAATGTTTCTGTGACACCCAGACGAGTTGCCGACACTCTTCGCCTGCCATCCTCAGAGAAAGGACGGATAGACCCGAAGCTATTGGATCTGGCCTTGAACGGAGTGCGTGAGCTGGAGAAAACTAGGGTGCTTGTTCGCCGGCAACTTTGCGAAACCATTGCAAACCTGATTAAGTCATGCTGCTGCTGCTCAGCTCTAGGGCGGACACCAACATTATCCGGGCAAAGAGTTTAGTGAGTTGCCAGGCGTGGGCTGCAGAAGCATTGGCTGTGCAGGAGGTGCCGCATGTCGTCAGGTAACTTGGGCCGTCAGGGGTTGGAGGCAATTCTATCAACTCTAGCATTAAAGGGGCTTTTTAGGAGCCAACGTTGAGGGTGAGGGGCTGTGCCGGCCTTCCTGATGTAGGACAGGCAGCATCTCCAAAGGTGGTGTGCTTGTTGCTGCGGTTTTCCTGAAGTCTGGGGCGCGCGCTTCATTTTCTGCCAGAGCTGTGCAGGCTCTGGTTTGGGGCTGTAGGAAACGGATCCTTGAGGCGCTGGGAGAACTTGAGTATGAACGCAAGACGAAGCCAGCCATGGACCGGAAAGCCCTAAACCCTACAAGCACTTTAATTTATTAAAAACCTGTAAACCCTAAACCCTATAAACCCTAAAGGATTACAGAAAGGGACCCTTAAAGGACGAAGCCCTGATTCTCGGTTCAGCGGTGCCATGCTGCAGACGCCGGAGATTTCATCCTCGGCTCCCGGGCTGCTTTGGTTCTGTGCTCGTGCTTTGGCCTTGGGGGTTGCAGGGAGCAGCGAGAGGATTCTGCAACCGTGGTTCTTCTGGCAGCAAGCAGCAAGCATAGGTGGCATTTCTGTGCAAGGAGCTTCTTTCCAGACATGTCAGCGCACCTAGCTCACACGGGGGGTGCGAGCAGCTGAGGCGAGTTGCTGGGACGGCGCACTCACCCGATCCCTTTGTTGCTACGGCCGCCAAGCTTCAATCCGGATCTTCCAGGAAGATAACCTCCTAAGGTCCTAAACCAAACCCCAAAACCCTAAACTGCCCTAAACCGCTTTGGTCTCTGCTTGGCTCTGAGCTCGGAGTGCCGGCCCAGGCGGCGGCAGTCAGTGCTTCGATCGCACCTTCAGCTTCGCGCGCTGCTGCGAGCCCCGGGAGGTGTCCGTTGGACCCGAGGCGAAGGGGCGCTCTGCACCGGTTGAGGGTTTCGGGCTTTCTGGCTTTCTGGCTCTTCATGGCAAAGGCGGGGGCTTCCGTCTGAGCAATCCACGCTAGAGGGAGGCAGCCTGCAGCGGCCTAAGACCCCAAGCGGACTTGTCGATGAGTAGTGGGTCACCGGCACTATAGGAAGTCGTAGCAGGCCTTCACAGGCTTCTTGTCTTCCGCAGACGAGCTGTTTCCCAGCTGCTTGGCCCATTTCGTTGCGTGTGATCTGTGCGTGCGCCGAGATAGATGTTCTTCCCAAGCTATGCCACTTCGAGGTTCAAAGTCTGATTTCTGGTGTCCAAGCAGAAGTTTGCATGCAGGTTCACTAAGTTTGCTCTTTGATTTCCCCAAAACTTATCCCAAGACCCTCAGCGTGGCCTTATAAGGTTTCAGTTCCAGCTTCGAGGAACCGAACTAACGAAGTCCAAACTCAGACAGGGCTTCGAGCCCGAAATCGACACTTCCCCAAAGCAAGCTGCCCAAAATGTGAGCGAGGCTTTCTGACCGAGCTCCGCGAAGCGCACGCCCGGCCGCAGACCGGGACGCGCACAGTGGCCAAGGCTTTAAGGACGGGATGGGGCCTTTGTAGGGTGAAGGGAAGCGGTCGAAAAGGCCTGGGGCGCTTGAAGCTTGGGGTTTGATGTCGGGTGGCTAAGGGCTTCCTCTGAAAGCTCCGGAGCTTCTCCTTGGTCCAGGGTAGAAGCGGAGGTGTTTTCGAGACTGATGGTCGTTGTCGCATAAGCAAAGACAGGGAGTCCCTGCCGCCCAGGACCCTGCTCGATTCTTTGGCGACGGTTGTCAATGCATCCTGGCATAGAGGCCTGTGGCGGCAGCTCTGCTTCCGTGTTGGTATTTTCTTACTTCTTCTTTCTGCATTTCTCCCATGTGCATCTTCTCTCTTTGCTTTCAGCTCTCTGCAGTTGCCCCTTGCTTTGCAGATTCTGTTGGCGTCAACATCTCCTTGGACGGCCCCTGGTACCATCTGATGGGCTACTTTGCCCCGCGGCCGAAGCTCAGTCAGAAGCCTGCACCGCGCCGTGCGCTGTCTCCACGCCCGTTTTTCCTTGCAGGTGACGCTGGAAGCCTTGCGGTTCAAGATTCGACCCAGCATTCGCAAAGTGCTCGTGAGGAGCACGTCACTTTTGGGGTCGAGCAGAGATCCTGGACCCTAAGCCCTAAACATCCCTAAACCCTAGTGTCGAAAAAATCTTGAAGCCCTAACCAAACCCTACGCCCCGCACCTTACACTCCCCAACCAAGCCTTAAACCCATAGCCACGAGGAGAGAAGCAGCCGTCTGGAAGCACTTCGGGCACCTGGTCCGAACTTTCTGGGGCTGCTTGGTCTGCAGTGAAGGCCCTGGCAGTGGCTTCGCTTGGAAGTTGGCAGCCAGGGAGTCTGCAGAGAAGTCGTCCCGACATGTTTGTACATCTGATGTGCGCCGTCAACACCACAGTGGCAATGGCCCTACGCAAGATCAAGGACTTACTAGCGCAGGAATTGATGTTCTCGCTGTGGCTGATCGTAAAGGAAATCCATGGGTCCGTGAACCGAGGATTCACAGACTTCTGCCGATGTATGGAGGCCGAGTTTTTGATGCTTTCCGAAAGCAGCTCCTGTGCAAGGGTTCGAAGTTGAACGAGGCTGCTGTTTGTTTTCATGGCAAAGCATCCAGATTCAGCTTCGCATATGGTTCACTTCGGATGTGTGTCAATCATGTGGCGCAGGCGGCAGAATTCTATTCCTTCGTGAGGGGCCAGGCGAGCTGGTTGAGACTGCTTCGCTTTGATACGCTCCATAGATCTTTTTCTTCCGAGATACGGACAGACACACGCACGAAGCGAGAAGGCTTCCGAGCTGCCGCTGGACCTTGCGCAGGTCTGGCGGAGCCAAATGCCTCGGCGGGGCTTCGCAGTCCCCTTCCTGAACCGCAGCCGGCCTCGATCCAGATTCACTTCGGAGCTCCGGCCGAAAACTCCGGTCTAAGGGGGGGAACGGCTTCTGAAAAGTGAGGAAAGCTTCAGATCCATGCCTTGTGGAGAAAGAACCATTCCTGTCTGCAGAATTCTGCAGTCCCCCTGCTGCCTCGGATGCTCTTTTGCACCGCCGCTTGCCGCAGGGACTTGATTCAGTTTCGAGCACTTTATCCGCCCCGTGTCCAATGACCTGAACCTGTTTCTGTGCGCAGTCCTGACAAATCAGCGGCATCTTTCGGCTTCACGCCGAGACGGCAAGCATAGGTCGAGGAACACCTTAAGTGCGATTTGTACATTCAAGTTGGCGGTGGGGCAGCACGCTGGGTCGACAATCGTGCAATGCGCGGGATGATGCTTCCATCCTCATCCAGAGACTCGCAATCGCAGCTCTTCGAGAGCTTCAACCGTTCTCTGTCTGAGGATGGTTTCCACAGCGACAGCAGTCTCGAGTCCGGTTCAGATGGGCAAGATCACATGCGAGAAAGTCGATACTGCTTCGACTCTGACAGAGCAGGGAGAAGCCAACCTAGCAAGCAGCTCGCTGTCAGCGGGGCCAGGAAACTGCTGTCCAAGAGTTGTACCTTGACAGAGAAGCTGGGCGATCTTGCCGTTGCCTGCTTGTCCCTGCGCAGCTTCCAGCTGCCGCTGGAAGTGCGGGAAAAAGTTCGCTCGTTCCTGCCGGCTCCCGAAGAGGAGTTGGTGGGAAGGCACATCTTGGGCTTGCACAACGGCCACGACTTCTTCTTCCGGTCCATGGCTTCGCTTCCGGCAGGCCGCCTTAAGTGCTCGCACGACCCCTCCTACTCCTACTCCTACCAAGGCCATGGCTGTTTTTCCGTGGCCGACTTCTGCGCTAGTCTGGGATGTCCAGTGGCCCCAACAGCACCCGTGGCGCTGGCCAGGAGATGTTCTGACGGCTTCGGAAACGACGAGCGCCTGGTACCCCTGCCTGCTGAGTTTGCGGTGCTGGTGCCGAGAAATGCCCCACACCACCTGCAAGCTTTGCTGGAGCATGTAGAACATGAGGACGAGGACTGGTATCGGGATGTGCGAGTGCTTGATGATCTGGAGAACGGTGCTTCGCCGATCGATGCGGACTCCGACTACAGCCAAAGACGACTAAACGGGCGATGGGATCCACAAGGCAACCGTCCACTTGAGCTGGACCGGCAGCTGCACAGTGTTGCTGGATATGCGCATGCGGATCACGTGCTGGGCATGGGCCCAGGGCCAATCCGAAAATATGCCTGTGCAGACCATGCACCGAAGGTGTTGATCCGCAACTTGCTGCATCGCGGGGCAAATCCAAGCATCACCATCAAAGGGGAGACAGCCTGCGAAAAGGCCACGAATGCGCGCGATAGTCTGCAATCGCATATTGAAGATCTTCGAGCCGGTCGCCTCTCCCCCGACAAGGTTCTTCAGAAGTATGCGTATTCGAAGACTTTCGAAGAAGCGAGAGAGCATGCGAGAGCCTTCATTGCAGAGCTCCAAATGTTTGAAGATTCCATACGATTGTTGAATGCAGCTGCCAAGGCGTGGAGCAAGGCGTCGCCGGCAAAGCAAACCTTCTGCTCCCAGCTGTACCTGCACGGTAAGGGCGTTGTTCGCCCGAACCCTAGGATGTTACATCATGCCCTGATGGAAGCACAAAAGGAGAGTGCCCGGGCCCCTGCCGTCTTAGTGGGAGACATCCTGGCCTTGGCAACTGCGATGTGGGAGCTTGCACGGGGACGAACAGGTCGCGTTTGCAGCCAGTGTGGCATGAGGCCAATACAGGACTTCAGCAAAAGCCAACTGAACAACAGGAAGGACAAGCGGCGCTGCAAAAGCTGCACAGGAGCTGACCAGCCTAAAAGGGCCAAGAAGGCCAAGGTCGTGCATGGCTCACTGGCACTGGACCTGAGTCTTTTTCGGGTGTGAGCGGCGTTGAAAGCCAAGCCTTCTGAGTTTCACTCAGTGGATCCCGAGCCAGCTGCTAGCTAAAGACACCCTCGTGAGATGCACCGCATGGACAGGAGTGGAGAGGGTAATGAGGGTCTTCAGCAGTCCATGCAAGGATGGGCGCAACTGCAGAGATGCGGAGATCTCG